AAGTGCCAACATGACATGGCTTTTTTTTTTCAAGTATCACAATGTCATGGATATGACATCATGGATGACACAAACTTTTTTCCATTAGCAGCATGGCATGGATTATCACAAAATCTTAAAATGTTTTAGCCACCATAAGTTATGCATTTACATGCCTTCAAGTCTGTTGTAGGCTTGTGATTGGACTGTGTCATTTTTGGCAAAATTTACAAGTTCTAGAACTAGAGGTTTGAAGGAATTGAGTTGTTTCTTTGCACTTTGTGCATACGTATCATATTCAGTGTTGCTAGCTTGAGTGTTCACTGAGTAGTGAAAATCTAGAATTGATATTTAACAAAAACATGAAATATAATAAAGATATTGTACCCTGAAGAATACCTCTGTAGAATAGATTGTTAATTTACTAACTTGTTGCTTGCATGATCATGTTATAATGTGACAGAGCACTAACATTTACAATTATATATTCAATGTTCTTTTGCATGTTTGTTTATCAGAACTTATACCTTCATTTTGCATTATCTATAGTACCATTTGTATTAATCATGGATATAATACAAGGTATAGTCATGTATATTCATAGTGAAAGTATGTGTAGTAAATATTATCCACTGACTAAGGTACTTTAGAAGAATTTGTGTTTTGGATCAAAATATGTAGTGTACTAGTACTAGTACTAGTAGTAGGTATTGTTGATTTAAAGGTAGATATTCAAATTGATCATAATCAAATACATAATCAATGTAGTTTTATTGATTTAAGACTTAACATTGTTCTAGTTGAAAGTTGTTATATGTTTTGTTCAACTAATCTGGATTTTCCCAAAAATTTACAGTGACCAGTGTAGTGTAGAATATATTTCATTTGCTGGAATTTAAGGCAAGAAAATGTAGAGTAGCAGCAAGAAATATACAGACTGATACAGCTGATCTCTAAAAACTGACACATTGCTTCAACATTGTCAGCAACATTTTCAGTATTTAGGCCACACCAATTTAATTTGTTGGTTCTCGGATTTTTTCAGAAAAAATATGAAGCGACAGGGCAAAAAAAAATAAAAATAAAAACAGGTCTAGGCGTCCTATTATAGGCTTAAATGCTACAAAATGAGCCATGAAGTCAACACGAAAGGCTGGGATGAAATTTAAACATTGAATTTTGAACTTTTAATCAAACCACTGCAATGATAGATGGGAAAACTGTAACAACTAGGAAGAAAAGGACTTTCCTCAACTGTTGGGGGGCAAAACATGAGCATTTTTCAGTTGATTCAGGACCAGAATCAAATTTTTTTTTTTTGCAAATCAGAAAAAAACGAAGAGGCAAATCCGAGAACCAACAAATTAAATTGGTGTGGCCTTATGGATGGGTATCTGAACACTACTGTTCCAATGTTTTTGTCAATTGTTCCTAAATATTGCAACAAATGTCATAAAGTGATTAATGTAATTAAATCATCTGTTATCATTATGAGCTTTCTCATTCACTTTGATCATAATATGAGTAAGCAGAATTTCTTGTAATACATGTAGTTATTTTTTCCAGTAACAGTCCAAAATCAAATAACTAAGGGGGGGGGGGCTATTAATTAAACACGGGTGACGGCATGTCTGTAAATCTGTGGCGAACCTGTAGGGAAAAAAAGGAGTACAGAGGTTCTTTTGTAGTCTCGACCAAATTAATTATTAAAAAAAAGGAAAGAATACATAATATATGTTCATTTCTCTAGAACACTGTCCCTCTGACGAAGGTATGAGTTCTCCGACCTCTAGTTCATTGGCTGGACTGAACTACTTGGGCCAGGGGGGTTTGGCTTCAGCTCATTAAATTAAAGTGCCATAGTTGACTTCGACCCCTAACAAACCTGACAGATCCTGCTTTCCAGTGAGGATTTAGTCTTAAGATGTAGGTACATGTATTTTGAAGTGCTCATTTTCCATAGCTTCACCATATAGAAAGTTCATTATTTGACACCCCCCCTTAGTACAGCTGGCCAGTGATGATTTCGCGCCAAAACGCGCATCAGAACGAAAAAGAAAAACCCTAAAAAGAGAGAGAAAGGGGAAAAGCTTGAACAAAAATATAAATGTTTACTCCAGAAAGAAATGAAATACATTATTCTATGTATTCTAATCGATTTACAATGTATTTGAATCGCAATATCTGACAGACACGTATGGATTTTGTCTTCCGTTTTGCAGCGGTCAAAATTTGTTTCCCGCGTTTTTTTGCCCCCTGATCTTGGTTTCAACTACCAAGGTAAGTACACACTCCTGGCAAGATTTTTGAGTACTAGATGCATAAAAATTAGATCTACTGGCTTTCTTAACACCTTAAGATCCTCTTTGAACTAAAACACCCACATCTAACTACGTTCGGAAGACCAGGGAAAGGGAACTGGGCCAAAGGGAGGGTGCGATCGATGGAGCTGTGCTGTGCTGATTATCATGAATTATAATTTTGAGTAACTTACTCTCTCAATGGAAAGAACGATTTCAATGATGATATGTGAGTTAGATGAAAAATTTGCCAAGGCCCACTATGCACACGTTGGTATTACTTAAAGAAAAAATAGAGCAGCATAAAAAGACTGTTTATAACTGGCCTCCGTGTGGGTTTACGGAAAACACAGGGCTGTCTGCTAGTACGTTACATGACTGGCTACCAGGCTACCCCTTTCTGCACCCGATAGGTACACATGGAGATGTTGGCCTCTGTTCGAATTTCCTGAAAGCATACTAGTCATTGAGGAAATGCCATTGGGGTTGTGTGGCGTATTGGTAGCGTCTTCAGGTCAGAACCAAGAGGTCCCAAGTTCGAACCCCACCTTGTCTGTCACCGATCTCATTACAGTTACATGTCATGACCACCTCAGTAGCCCAAAATGACAGTCTTTTATCTTCCACTTCTTACCATTACAGGACGAGACTTATACTGGTAACTGCATATGCTGAGAACAGTTTTCAGAATGGCATCCCCTGACATTTCCCAAGAGATCCAGGACAATGTTTTGAGCTGTCCTATCTGTAACAACCAGTTGGTGGAACCCAAGGCCCTCCCCTGTCTGCATACCTACTGCTGTAAGTGTCTACAGGAGCTGGCCAGGAGGGCTGAAAATGGGCGGCGACGGCTCCAGTGCCCAGAGTGCAGGTATTTTATGGCCCTATTCAGATTTGTATTACTATTAGATTAGAAAGGTAACATTTGCAAAGAAAATGCATAATGTTTACCTTTGCATATTGTCTGCTCTGTTCATTCTTACTCACGAGTCTAAATCCCTCCTACTATAAAATTGCAACATGATGTAACCCAACACCAGTTACCATGGTGAGAGACAGTCTGGTTCAGTCAGGTCAGAGGTCACTGTTTGGAGAAGAAGAAGAAGAAGAAACTGACCAAAAACAATGTTTTCCTTCAGTAAACATAATAACCGGATTTGCTCTTTTTAAAGAACCTTAAAATTTTATTATTTTCCAGAAAAACGGTGGTTATCCCAGCACAAGGAGTGCAAGCCTTCCCCACCAACTACCTGGTTGCAAACGTCCTGGACAAGGTCCAACAGTGCAAAGAAGAGAAAAAGAAACAGGCTGATGAGACGGACATGTGTGACGTTCACAAACAGGAAGCCAGAGTGGTTTGTAACACCTGTAATGTTGCCGTCTGCACTGCCTGCTTGAAATCTGACCACAAAGAACATGTTCTGAAGCACATTGACCAAGAAAAAGCCATCAAGGTGAAACAGGTGGAAAAGCTACTGATTAAGAACACTAAGAAGTTTTCTGAAGATCTCTCCCGCCGGCCTGTGAAACGATGTTTGGAAGAGAAGCATAAGGAGATCAGAAGACAAATTGAATCCTGGACGGCAGTGGTTATTCGGAGAGTCCAGGATCAGGAAAAGAGTCTCCTAGACAAAATCGACCAAATAAAGGAAAGAAAACTTGAAGAGATTAGCAGAAGAGAGATGCAAGACGATGAACTAAAACTGAAGATGAGAGAAGCTGAGGCGGCCATTAGTGGCAACAAACAATTGCTGTACAAGGATATCTTGTCTCACTACTCCTGCCTCACAGATACAAAATTAGAAAGAGCGCTAGCAAACCAATCTCCACTACTGGAAGAGGTGGATAGCCTGAAGTTTGAGAAGAGCAAAGTGGACATGAATCAGCCGCTGTTGGGGCACATCGTTGAAGAAAGTGACAGGCCCTCAGCCTCTGGAAGTAAACCCCCTGCATTAAAACGCAGTAGTACTTCAGGAAACACCAACAAACCTGATAATGGGAATGGGCCTTCTGGTGCTGGGTGTTCCATTCAAGAGGAACGGAAAACTAGAATCCCTCTAACCCTTTTTGAGATGATAGAAGATGATACTGTGAGCATACCAGCCAGGAAGAGACAAAAGCAGATGAACAGCCCTCGGAGAGCTCCAAGGAAAGTCTACCCTTCCACTGTATCTTCCAGTAAGAGTCGGAGCATCCATAAATCTCCATCTCCATCAACAAGCAGATGCAGTCCTAGTAATGCACCAAGACCAGGTGCAGCATCTCATCCAAGCAGCGATTCTGAGGATGAACCAAGAGTAGGTGTCAGTGTACTGAGGATGATTGAACCAGAGTTAGGTGAGGAGGGAGGTTGCATAGAAGAGGAATTTGAATTCCTTGTATCAGAACTGTCAGACTAAAAAAAAGTCACTTTATGTCTTACTCATGTATTTGTTCAAGTGACACTGGCATGGATTTTTTTTTTTGAGGTGGCACTGTGACATGTTCTTTTGTTTCAAGTGACACCATGGCATGTTTTATTTTTTTGTCAAGTTACATTGTGACGTGTTTTTTTTCAAGTGACACCTTGGCATGGATTTTTTTCAACAGGCACTGACATGTATTTGGTCAAGTGACACTGGAATGGATTTTTTTGAGGTTTCACATGTTCTTTTGTTTCAAGAGACACCATGGCATGTTTTTTTTTCAAGTGACAGCACAGCATGGATTTTTTTTAACAGGCACTGACTAGTATTTGTTCAAGTGATACTGGCATGGATTTTTTTTGAAGTGCCATTTTTTTTAAGTGACAACATGCCTGACTTGGAACTGTACATCTTGCTATTTCTGTTATTTCTTCTTTTTGATGACAGTTACAAGGGACTTAAAATCTAAAAAAAATACATGCAAAAGATTAGATTGGTAGTTTTCAATCAGTTTTTTCCTTGTAGTTCAAGTTTGTGTTAACCTTCTCACTGCTAAAGTACTATTGGGCTAGGCAGCAGGTTTCATATTATATCAGACCTATCATATTTACTAACTAGTACTTAATCATTATAATATATATATATCGTATGTTACTGGTTGATAACCCTTATACTTGTTAGCCAAACTGTAAGACTAAGTATAAGAGATAAAAGTCTAACGAAAATACAAAATTTTGTAGATTTAATATACCTAGACTGTTGCTGTAACAACATGTAACTATTTTTCTTTGTTGTATGTTAGATTGTAGAATTCTTCTGTAGAGATTTGTTACTTAACGTTTGTTTATGGAAACTTACCTTTCATATTGAGTATTTGTTATATCATATATATATTGTTCAAGGCATTCACATTCTAATGTACACATATCTATAGTGACAGACTGGGAAGGATGAAGTCATGTTAAGGACGTAGAACAAGTCATCACTTGTTTGAGGAATATAGCAGAAGGACTGCCCAAATATTGATAGGTAATTGATATTTATTGTTTACAAATAACCTTTCAAGCATTAGAAAATCAACATTCAAAACATTATGTTCTAAAACAATAGATACCACTTAACTCTGTTAGAATAAAAATCAAATAAAAGCCTTGGAATTCTTTCAATGGGTAATTCTGTGTTTATATATTGTTATTTTGAAGGTTGATTTTTTTTTTTAATTTTAAGTGTTAAAAGGAAAGAATGACACTGAGGTCACTTTATATTTGGAACACTATTTTTACCTGCACTAGGTACATGTATGTTATGGAACCTCTTGTACTTAACTTGATGTTAAAGCCACACAATTCCTTGAATCTTCCAAATTTACAGTGACCAGTGCAAAATATGTTTCATATTGTAGACTTAAAGGCAAGAAAGTGGAAAATAGCAGCAAGAAGTACAATATGCATATGATCCCTAAAAACTTACTAGTACACATTACTTCAACATTGTCACATACAGGTTCAACATTTTTAGTCATTCAACACTACTGTTCCAAAGTTTTCATCAATTTATATAAATGTTCCTTTAATAAACTAAGTTTAAGTTTGAGTACAATTTTAAAATATAACTTCCTAAATATTGCAACAAATGACAGAAAGTGACTGATGTAATTAAATCATCTGTAATCATTATGAGCTTTCTCACCCAGTTGCCTAATTACATGTAATTTCTCAAATAATTGAATGTTCAAATCTCTAAATTATAACTCATGATCAATTTTCAACTCAATTGAAAGAGAGTTACCCTGGTGAGTACACTATGCATTATTCTTAAATGGTCCTTTTCCCTTATTGGTCTTTCCCCTAAAACAGAAATTATGAATATTAATTCCTCTTTAACAGTTGAGAAGTTGAACAATGGAAATGACTGAATCAAAGCTTTGTATATTGTAAATTCTGTGGCCAAAGTTGCTATTTATTTTTACATGAAAAAATAATGAAATATGATCCTAAACTATCTTTGCTCTGGTTTAGCGGCTGGTTTGGCTGTGAGTTGTCTCTCTCTTTCCAGTTCTCTTTCCTTCTGTTGTTCCTTGTGGAGGTCTTCCTTTTGCTTCTGTTGTTGGAGTTTCAGTGCACGTTTCTGAATGTTGAAAAAAAATTACATGTTACTACCACATTTTGATACATATAAAATACACAAAATGTGTAAGGACAAGATGGTAAGGGAAATATTTTGCATTTGCTAGTGAATTTCAACCATTTACCTTCAACTTTGTACTTTTCTCATGTAGAGCCACCATCTCTTTCCTGATGAGGACCAGTTTGTTGTGGTACCTCTTGGCCTCTGACAACTTGAAGAAAAAGAATGACAGCAAAATGTTAACAACATTTCACTGGAACTACAATGCTGACAGACAGTATTACATTACAAAACTCCTGTAAAAATAGTACTTTTAGAAAGGGGGATTTAAATCAAAAGGAATTGCTTCAATGACTTACCAGTTCTCCAAGGCTCTTTGTCGCTTCACTTTCGGAGAACCTTGTGTTTTCATGTTGCATAGCTTCTATCATAACTTCTTGGTTCCTTCTGTCAGAAAAGGTACAAAGATGTACTCCGTAAACCTGTACATTATTATATGATTCACAACATTTTAAAATGAACTCATCACACCCACCAACAGAAGCTGGTACTTTTAAATTGTTTCAACAGTGATCTTGAGATTTTCACTGTGTCAAGAAATTTAGCAAAAAATTTTCATAGCCCCACCCACATTACTGAAAACAAAGAAATGTGAAACAAACAAAAACAATTGATCGACAGTTTAAAGGAGCCCACTGAATTTATCCTTTCATTTATAAACTTATACACAAGGATGTTGTACTCACATTAACTCATCTAGTTTGTCTTTGACTGAGTCTGACTCTGGTCCAAGTTTTCGGATGAGTCCATCAGTGAGGAGAGACACCGTCTCCTCATCTACCGGTACTTCTGCAAGGATGCATGATGGGAACTGTCAATCATAGGTAAGGGCTGTTCCATTTGTACAAAGAAAATTAAACGTAATTACAGTTGTGTATAATGAAGGGTCAGAGAATTTTGCATAGCTTGTAATTTAGACTACCACGTGCCCTATGCTCATCTAACAATCATTAGTAGTGTGGGTAGTCCAGTGGTTTGCAACCCTGCTTCTGGACCATGAGGTTGGGAGTTCAAGTCCAAACCTCATGGTCCAGTGGTTGGGACTCGAACTCCCAACCTCATGGTCCAGAGGTTGGGAGTTCGAGTCCAGGCTATTGTCACTCACCCAACATGCATGGTACTGGAAAGAGTTGCAGTCCTTAGGATGTGTGTTCACTGTGCTTGTCAAAAAGAGCTACTACTACTAGTAGGGGAATTTCTCTGGTACAATGATAGTGTAAATAGTGTCTACCTTCTCTCACAAAGCAGTATTGGTAAGGGGGTGAAGTCTGCCTTGTTTGAGGGTACCTTGTACTGCTGCACCACTCGTGTCTGCCTGGTCTGAAGGGTGACTGCCAGTCTTCAGGGGACTCTCGGTAGCTTCTGCAGCGACTTCTGTTACCTCCTCCATCTTACAATCATCTAAAGACGAGAGAGGAACCTTAAGACGTGTCTGACTTTTCAACATGTAACGCTTATAATAATGTTATATTATACTAGAAAGGTAACATTTGCAAGGCAATTGCTCTATTAATTCTTACTGAAGCACATTCATATAGTAATATATGGTCAGACGTCGACAGATCCCTCCTGGTATAAAATTGCAACATGATGTCACCCAACACCAGTTACCAGAGCAACAGACACAACATTGGTTCAGGTAAGAGCGAAGAGGGCAGCGGTAAGATGTCACTGGAGAAGAAGAAGAGGAAGAAGAAACTAAGCAAAAACATTTTTTTTTTCTTCGGTAAACAAAATAATCTAAAGCTTTGGTTGGTTGGAAAGCACCGCCCCCCTCCCCCCAAAAAATAATAATAAAATTTACCTGATAATTTCTAACTCTACATACATCAGGCGGCGCGTTACGGTTGCTCTACACGGGGTCTGTCCTTTTTTTATCTATCAAACGACTTTTCAACTCCTCAGGAAATTACAAAACCACAAAAATTCTCACAAAACTTCTTCTTTCGTGTTGTTGGATATTTTCTTGAACTTTGACCTCCGAGGTCTTATGACATTACCTCAGTTTACGATGTACATTTTGCAGAGCTTGAGCAAGGATCCGTACATCCGTATCTTCTTGAAGAAATACCCACAGTGATAGCTTAAGAACCAACCGTAGACACATTTGTGTATATGGATACATTCAGATCGGTATATACGTATCTGCGCTAGATTGTTTGATGTTTAGAAAGGCGCGGAGAGTTTGAGTGTAGCCTGCTGGTACTAGTCGGAAATGTTCGTCATGGAATAAGGTAAAAATCAGAGACCATCTCCGACGATTTGGTAAGTTCGGGAGAAAAAAAACGACAATATTTTGTCCTCACTAAATCAATTATCTCAAATTATCTGTAAAATAGTCCTTTTCCGCTTGTTTAATGTTAGCCCCAGTGTAAAGAACCCCGTCGATGTTGTAAACACGTCGAAAAGCCGACAGTAGGTGTGCCGACACTGTGCCCCCCTCCCCCATTACGTTACGTACTGTAATATTCATGCCAGGTGACGTTGTGCATTTGTCAGGCCTGATCATGAACTTCAGAAATGACAACTGATGTCTACCCATTCCTTAGTGAAGTCACCAGTGATACTAACTAAAGAATGACATGTAGAGACGTTTTTGTTAGCGAAAGTGTCACAGCTTTTAAATATTCTGGATCATAATAATTAAGAATCTAGAAATTATGAAGGACTGAAGTACATGAATGTGAAAATGACGTTACTTATAAAGAGATACGAACACGATGACATTTTGAGTAGTTCTTAGGTCTACAAACCACTAGTTTGTTGAGTGTATTATCTACTGGAAATTTTATTTACAATGTACATTTAAGGCAAATGATGTCAGGAATGAAGTAATGGCATGGAGTTAAAATACATGCGAATGGTGAGTCATCAGAATGTGACGTATGTAAATATTTTGAAACATGAGATTTGACAGCTGAACAAACGTTCTGTTTTCAGGAAACCCAACTTAAAACTTGGATCCTCTACATTCACATGTGAAACACCTGGAAGCAAGAGAAGATATATACACCGCAACTAAGGCAAAGAAAGTACCCTTCTCCAAAAAGAAATAAAAATTTAAAAATCTGTACATGTGATACACTTGAGAATCAAAATGGCTTCCTCGGAACAGCTTTCGCCAGAACAGTTGTCGACAGCGGCGGAGCGAGCGTCGCCCGCACAGCTGTCGTTTTCCTCCTCGCTGTCCTCCCCGCTGTCTCCTGGGCAACCGCCGCCATTCTCGCCGGTCGACCCTCAGCTGTACGAGCGGGATTACCCGCGGCTCAAGTCGTGGGGCGAGCTTCGACAGGCCGTCCGCAGCACGCGGCGCCTCCAGACCAACCTGGCAAACAGGGTATCTGTTTCTGTATATTATCCAACTTATAAAATATAAACTTATATATTATCCAACTTATGAAAACTTGCATGAGGACACTTGAGTTTTCAATGTCAATGGAAACCAATTGTATAACGTTTCAATGTCACATCATGGAGCTAGAAAAGGTTGATCAGCTTGAAAAATTTATGTCCCATGCAGGGGTCCACCAAAAAAGGCTAGGGTGGGCAGTTTTTTTAGGGATGGTCGGGAAACAGAAAAAAACAACATTTTTTTCCTTTGCCTAAAATAAGGTGCCACACAACTTCACCTTCGCTAAGCTGGAGACGGAGCAAGGCACCAGAACGAGGCTGTACTTCCTGGGAGTTCCGGAGAACTTGAAAGAGAATTCGCTGATGTTCGTGGACGTCCCGAACGATCAAAACGGCGAGGTCTCCATGTTACCATGGCAGCCACTCTTAGACTCCTTCCATGTAAGTTCAGCTACACGGTAATTCTAATAAGGGCACACAAGGAGGACACATAGAAGGGTTTTTTCTTCTTGGAAGGTCATATCAACATTTTTCAGATTTCATCTATAATGACATAATCAAATACTGGCAAAGTACCATTACACAAGTTGAAAATAAGTGTCAAGGCCCCCAATTTACCATGGTGGTTGTAAATGATACCGTTATTATAATAAGTTATGGCCTCAGATCACTATTGTGGTTGTAAGTGATACCGGTATGGCCTAATGTGCTAAAAAATAACATAGAATTCACTAGGCTAGAATCCTAATAGTAATATTGTAAGTATTACAGTTCTTTACACTCTTCTTTTGTTGTACAAAATTTACATAAGACCCAAGGCAAATGTTCTATGTGACTTTTGTTCAAAATTTCTCAGTGGGACACATAGAAGTATCTTTGACTTCACTTATTCTTAAAATACATTTCTATCCTCTTGTTACCAAGGCGACGCCGTACATGTGTCAGTATTCAAGAGAAGAGCAGCTGCTCCGAGAGCGAAAGCGGGTCTCGGCCTTCGGAATCACGTCGTACGACGTCGACATCGAACATCGGCGCTTCCTCTTCCCAGCCAGCAACAGTCTCTACATGTGCACCGACGACAACATGACAGTGAGTCGTGCTAATTGTACTTTTTTTGGCAACACCACAGGGGCAGAACCTCAAGTTGAAAATATTCTGAAAATTCCTTCTGTCTCTCTACATATGTGCGGATGACAATATGACAACAACAAAAAACATGACAGTGAGTTGTGCTACTTCTTTTTTTTTGGCATCTTCACAGGGGCAGTGCCTATTGTTTGGTATCAATCTCAAGTTGAAAATATCATGAAAATTTCTTCTGTTTCTACATATGCACCAATGACAAAATGACAACAGCAACAAAAAACATTGAGTTTTAATGTTTAGATTAAATCTCTACATAAGATAACTCATAATTGATCCATTAAGAAAGTATATATTAAGGCTGCAAACATTCTTCATACAGAATTTCTTTTTACATTCTTCTCTTCAATTTCGATCTTTTAGCTTCATTTCTATCTGCATATTTGTTGTGCTGCTTTTTTTTATTCCTTTGTTAAGTCTTGCTTAAATTTTATTTGTGTTTTTCCTATTTATATTTTACATCTCACCCTTCCTCTGTGGCACCTCTAGGTCTCTACCAGCCCTTACCAGAAGCCTGTCATCCGGGCTAGCTGGAGCTTTTATGGCCAGAAAGAAGCCTGTGTTAGCCTACACCAGGTCCTGCATATAGAGGGTAGATAAGATAGACTGCAGGCTGTACCAAGGACATTGTATGTCCTTGCTATACTGAAAACAGACCCATATTATATACATTTGTATATGGATGACATCTATGTAATGATTCATAAATAAAATGTTGCTATGAACCATGATAATTATAATGCATTGAAGCCCTTAATAAAGCCAAAGACTTTGTAATGCTCACAAATCAATAATTTGGATTAGCAATGCAAGCAAAAGGAAGATTTTGAAACCTTCTGATGAAAAGGCATCTTTGATTTTTTAACAGCTTATAGATATTTTTGTTCTTAGAATTATGTACATGTAAGTTTAACCCTAACCATTTCTTTATCTTTGTGCTCCTTTCTTATCTGTATCATGTTGTATACTTGTATCTTGCTCTCTTTCTGTTTTCTGTTTGTATATATATTATTATTATTATGGTAACTCTTTTTCTCTAGCCTGGGTACCATCCTATTTGTATGCCGGGGCTCCCACACTTGCTTCCCTAACAACTAGCATGAAAGTTCATCTGAGTTGGTAAAATACATGAAGAAAAAATAAACTGTTCTCCAACTCAAAAAGAAATTGACTCACCAGAAATTTTCTGTTAGGATGATACAAATAGGATGGTACCAAGGCTACTGTTCTCTCCTACCATGAAATTAAATTCATTAAAAGTCAAACATCAATGAATTTCACAGTACATGGTAACTTATGTATTCCTACAGGAGCAGGCAGTGGTTCCAGAAGAAATAAAGAGTCAGTGTACTGCAGCCCGGATCGACCCTAAGATGTGCCCCTGTAACAACAGTCTGGTGGGGTTTGTCTGCAGTGGGGACCTGTGGATCACTAACCTGGGGGACGAGGAGGAGAGAAGACTCACTTTTGTACACAAAGGTTGGTCCTGTTTTTGGCAACAGCACAGGGGAGGAGCCTTTGATTTTCTGTGTAAACCTGTGTATGTGTGGATGCATGCAGCCTAAGTTGGTGTCACAGGCAAAGCTTTACCATACAGTCCATCTATGTAACCTGCAAAGTGAGGAGAGACAAGTCACTTTGTCTAGCTGTACTGGGAATGCTAAGCTAGATAACCTCTCAAAGCTGTTGCAGAACAGAGATTTAGGTTTGACCAGATAACATTCTTCTTGGAGATGTCAGTACCAATACAATGAATGCTCTGATTGCAGTACCTCAGAGTTCTGAAAGGTGTCCCCGCTAAATGTAACATTCTTGGCGTTTTGTTACAGGTCTGTCTAACCTAGCAGAAGATCCCAAGACTGCAGGAGTGCCGTCTTTTGTGGTTCAGGAGGAGTTTGACAGATACACAGGCTACTGGTGGAGCCCCACCTTTGATCAAAGTAAGGCCACACCAATTTAATTTGTTGGTTCTCGGATTTTTTCAGAAAAAATATGAAGCGACAGGGCGAAAAAAAAATACAAATAAAAACAGGTCTAGGCATCCTATTATACGCTTAAATGCTATGGAATGAGCCATGAAGTCAACACAAAAGGCTGGGTTAAAATTTAAACATATTGAATTTTGAACTTTTAATCAAACCACTGCAATGATAGATGGGAAAACTGTAACAACTAGGAAGAAAAGGACTTTCCTCAACTGTTGGGGTCAAAACATGAGCATTTTTCAGTTGATTCAGGACCAGAATCAATTTTTTTTTTTAAATCAGAAAAAAACGAAGAGGCGAATCCGAGAACCAACAAATTAAATTGGTGTGGCCTAAGGGGAGAAAAAAAATGTAAAGCTTTATCTACGATAAAATATAGGCTATTCTATGTATCATTTATACAATCCCCACAGATTTAAAGTGTATTATATGTACTAGAGATGGGCAATGCATATGATAAATTTTAAGTCTAAGTATGGAGTACAATTTTTTTTCTGAACAAACATTTGTTAATTTGATTAAACCCTGAATGTTTATACATATGTATGTAGATACATTGTAGTAAACTTACACCAGTCAACTACATTTGTCATTTCTGCTGTGGTATGACCTGATGTTTGGATGCTGTCTCTCCATGCTGTACAGATAGCGATGGCAGCAGAACGTACAGACTGATGTATGAGGAGGTTGATGAAAGTGAAGTGGAGATTTTACACATCGTCTCCTCCACTAACAATGAGAGGGGCGTGGACCACTTCAGGTACCCTCGAGCAGGTAAGGTGCAATGTAGTATTTACCTAGAGTTTGTGTAACACAAGTTATTGATATGGCCTTGGTGCTGTGAAACATATTGTTTTCTCTCGTGTTTCTTCTCCTCCTGCCATTTCTTTAAATGGATTCAACTCTGCCATTTTTCGATTGTAGCTTGAAAACCCAAATCCTCAACTGACAGTTTGAAATAGAATACTGGTTCTACCAGGGTTCTACATGTTCCAAGGGCAGAAGGCGTTGGAAGATTCCATTGTTGCATGGGGGTATAGACTATTGGATCAATTCACATTTTGGACAGGTGTGATCTCTGAATAGAACATTTGTGCGGGAGGGGAATAGGTCCATTTTGGTGGGGGGGGGATGTGGTGAAGCCATCTGCTGCATTTGCTCCCGATCAAATGTCAGCCTTTGTAGTCGCTATTGAGGGGTGGCCAAAGTTTTTCAAGAACAGCAGTGAAAAATATGGGGTAACAGATGAGAGATGAAATTGTTGAATGTATTCACAGAATGTTTTTTTTATCTTAGGTACGGCCAATGCAACCAGCACTCTGAAGATGCTAGAAATAACAGTGGACTCCAGTGGAAAGGTAAGAAAATATTTTTTTTAATGGGTGACAATTGTTCTTTTAAATGTATGCAGAAACTATACCCATGAAATACTAGTAAACAGTAAATGTAATGTTTTAGTCATACAAATACTCAAATTAGAGGTCTGAATGACTACACGTCAGTGTTTTAGCCAGCATCTGTTTTTCAGTCATTTGATGGAATTTTGCCCAATCCGTCATCTTTGACATACTAAAGTCAGCGTGTAAAGCTTTGGAAATCAAGATAAGATTAGTCTGTGAGCAAAATTTTCCTCGCAAAATGTAGGAAATATTCTAGATTCCAAATCTTTCCCCAGCGGCAAAATTGAGATGACGGGAAAAAATTAGGCTAGCTAGAACAGTGGGGCATTTAAAATGTTTGAATCTGTATCTGAACTGTTTTTCCCATATGTAGATCAAAGATACGGTGGTTGAAAGACACCTACGAGAGCCTCTACAAGAACTGTTCCCTCACATGGAGTACCTGGTCAGGGCAGACTGGCTACCCGACGGCAAAAAGTGAGTGAACACCTCATCAACTGAAGAACCTCCCTCAACAAGCATGTTGGTAGAACGTACTGTGCCTGCACGAAACCCTGATTTTTTGTTTGATGTTTGGTCAACGTCGCATCAGAATTTTGCCTGTTGCAGACGATATGTTTTCCGACATATCATTTAGAAACAACAGACAGGATCTTAACCTTATATACGGGATAAAACACACAATGTGACATAGGTACTCTCAATGAGAATACATGTATGTACACTGACTTGCAGGAAGAAAAAGAAACAAAAAATACCAAGTTTTTAAAACTTCTTTAATGTTTTTGAAACAGGTTGACTTACCCAAGTTTTTGACTGTTCATGGCCAGTATTTGTCAATTTATGAGCTGTATTTTTTTCTTTATTTATTGATCTATTTATTTATTTTCCAGAGTGTGGGTTCAGCTGCTGAGTAGGAACCAGCAGTGGTTGATTCTGGCGTTGCTCCCGCTGGAGTTTTTCTCGCCCACGACATCAGACACCCCCACCAACAGTCACGGGGAGGCTGCCACACCGCCGGTCTACCTGCTACTGGAGGAGCATAGTCGTATATGGGTTAATGTAAGAGGTCTTAGTACTTAACCTTCTCTGCCAAGTGCTGTGTACAAAATATGGAAGGGACTTCTCAGTTAACATTTCCCAATGGAAAATGGGGCATGTTGCGAGCATTGCACTACCAGGGTTTAGAAGCAAGATATGTTGTTTGTGGGGCACATCTGGGCAAAACTGTGGCCACAGTTTTTGACTATTAAGGATTTTGTGTGATTTAGAACAGAATTGGGAATGCATTTTACTCACCAACACAGGTGGGCTTCATAATGACATTTTTTCTGTTATTAAAATTTTTCCAGATACACGAGCTGATCTACTTCTTCCCACAAACGAGGCCAGATGAGGTCAGCTTCATCTGGGCCAATGAGGGGACAGGGTTCCGCCACCTGTACCACGTGACGGCGTCCTTATCACCTGAGCAGGCGCAGATGGGCATGGAGGTGGAGACAGGTGGGGCAGGTGCTCAGGACATCACACACAAAGGTACGCTTTGGTTTAAAGAGGACTTGTTGCATTTTGGCAATGCCTCTGTAGTGGTGCCATTAGTACACAATTCACACGTGTAACCCTTACTGTGTACAAATAGGTTAATATATCAAAGAATGTTTAGACCTTAGAACTAGTAGTATAAGTTGATTCATCTATTGTCTTGTAGTACATACCGGTAGGTCAATTTTGTTGTACCTATGTATCTGTCTGTATGTCTACATGTAGTTAACAACCTTACGAAAGTTGCTGTACTTTTGTTGTGTCAACAAAGTTCTCTCTGTTCTGTAATTCAGCTGTTTATTATTCTTGTTTTCAGCTGTGCAAAGATGTGGACTGAGAGAGATCAGACAACTGACAGGAGGACAGTGGGTAGTCATAGGGAAACCAGACATGGTGAGCTCTTCACTCACACACATTCACACCTTATAATTAAACACCTTCAAACAATAGGAAACAAGGTACATATGTATTCTGCAGTCAACTGCAAAACATTTGGTGATACTGATGAGTTTGAACATTTTGTGTTTTCACAGCTATGGGTGGATGAGACAAGACAACTAGTATATTTCATGGCAACCAAAGACACACCACTAGAAGAACACTTGTAAGTTGGCATCATAACTTTTTTAATTTTATGCATTGGATATGCATTACATACTCACATATGTCTGATATTGGTTCCAAAAAGTTATGACGTATGATGTGTATTGAGTAATACTATGTAATTTTGTGCAGTACATTATATTGCACAAAAAGTTTATTTTTCATCAAAGCTTTGTGGCATTTGCTCATTTTGTACAGTTTTGCGACAATTATGAAGTTCCTTTGACTAAAGTTGATTTAAGTGAGATATTAGCTATTTTAGAGTACCATTTGTTGTCTTTCCCTGCACAGATATGTAGTATCGTACATGGATCCAGGAGAACCAGTGAGACTGACAGAGCTGGGGTACTACCATCAGGTCTGGATGAGTCAGGTAGGGAGACAGTCTTTCCCTCACCATACACGTTGTATATGGTGGTGCCTATCTCTTGTGCTCACAAATTTATGCAATCAGCAAGAAGCCAGTCCACAGTCACTCGTTCCCAACTGCTAAGTAGGGAAAGCGTTTTTAATATATGTACCATTTTTTAAAGTATTTGGTGTGACTCAATCGGGGATCAAACCCACGACCTGCAAAATGGAAGGTGAACACTCTACACATTTGGCCATTGCACCAGTTTCTGAATTAGCACCAGTATTTGAGCTTGAAAAGATAACTTCCCATTTAAGAAGCATTTATCTTTAGTCTTGTAACTTGAACAAATGCTAAACCAGATTTGTTATTTGTTTGTTTGTTTGTTTGTTTGTTTTTCCAGGACTGTAGTATGTATGTGTCGGTGTTCAGCAGTGTGGATACTGGTCCAGCCTGCATGGTCTACAGAGTAGCCAACCAGGCGTCTCGTCTCATAGCCAAGCTGCTAGAACACCCAAGTGAGTATTAGTAAGAAGACCTGTCATTGGTCAGATGTAGTCAGACCATGAAGCAACAAAACTGTGTTATAAGGTGTACTAAGGAATTTAAAAGGGTCACTCCTAAGGTGTCAAATTTTGGCAACAATTTCTGAGAAAAGAGTATTAAAAAAACTGCACCATTTAATTGACATTGAAAATTTGTGGGGAAATAACTTCAATATTCACAATGTAAGCAAACAAACCGTATTTAGTGCAAGTCTCTTTCAAGAATAGAGTTGTTCCAGAGCCACATTCAAAGTCCTTTCTTCTTATTGGTTGTTTTATCAGATAGTGCTTAGCCAATCAGCACTTAGGATGCCTAATCTGTAGTCCTCCCAGAGAGTTGTAGCACAGCCCCATAGAAATCCTCTACCCTGTCTCCTATTGGTTGTTTTATCTTAGCATTTAGCCAATCAGCACTTGTTGATGTAAACTGTTTATTTCCTGCAGTCCTTCCAGTAGACTACCACCCTCCAGAGTTGTTCCAGTACCGAAGCCTGTCGGGGTACGACCACTACGGGTACATGTACAAACCTCACAACTGTGCTCCTGGCAGGAAGTACCCAACTCTGCTCTTTGTGTACGGCGGACCACAGGTTAGCACTCGCACTTCTGGGCTCGAAATTCATTTTTGGGAATAGGTGCACCCACAGAAAAAACTGGGTGCACAGCTACAAATTTGGGTGCACTAAGGTGCACATGCACCCAATATTTTGAGCCCCGCACTTGGAATAAATCTCACAAATTCAATTGTTTGGTTCTCAGAAACTATGCTGAATAGAGCCAGAAAGTCTGTACCTTTGCACACACAGCTTTGGAGAATTCAAAGGATGATACTGAAAGAAATTAAAGTTTAAATTGTTGATCCAACACAAGAGAGAAATGTTCTCACCCAGAGCTTTTGACTAGTCACTCTGGTCTTCCTCAGTAGACTGACCCAGTGAGGCTTGTCACATGGCTTCTCTGAAGTGTGATGTCAGCACTGGGTCACCAAAGGTATCTGGAAATGATGTCGGCCTCCTACTGTTAAGTTTATTGTACATTCATGCCTCAAAGAGCTAGGTCAGGGTCATCTCTTAAAGTTTTTGCATACTGTGCACTATTTGTTTTTGTTGCCTAGTCACTACTATAGACCATGTCTACCTGAAAAATAGTCATACATGTAGCTGCCATATTAACTGAAAAAAATCTTTCATCTGTTCTTTTCTCAGGTCCAACTTGTAACCAATTCCTTCAAGGGTATCCGGTTCCTGAGACTACACACGCTGGCGTCGCTAGGGTACGCCGTCGTCGTGCTGGACGGTCGGGGCTCCAACCACCGCGGACTGCAGTTCGAAGGTCATCTCCGGGGGCGAATGGTCAGTGGGCTGTACCAACAGTTTGTGGGGGTGTGAGGAAACAAAAAGGTCTATTCAGAGCATCTTTCTAAGGAAGGGGAAAGTACACATTATGCGGTACAGTTTGAGACGATAAGATGTAGATAAGCTTACCCGTCATCCCCCAAGTCATTTCTGAAATAGCCCCCAATTTTGATACAGTAACTATATATTGAAACAGTTTTTATTGCAGCACTTATAGTATATTTTTTATTATGTTTTTGGCAAAACGTTAAGGTTGGATCCAAAAGTACCTCATCTATAAGTCCGTATCTTGTTTTTTTGCAGGGTTCAGTTGAGATAGAAGACCAGGTGGAAGGCCTCTATTGGTTAGCTGAAAATGTGGACTACATTGACCTCAATAGAGTCGCTATCCATGGCTGGTCGTATGGTAAGGTACTTTCTACCATGATGATCATGTCCTCTTTATGTAAATTTGTTCAATGATTTATATGTAGGTACATGTATGTTGTGATTTTGATGTCAAATACAGCATTTTTGTAAATGAAAAGTTCAAAGTGGTACCATTTAGTTTCTTAATATATTCTAACACTACACATAATCCTAATTTTTTGTACTTTGTGTCTCCATTATACACAAAGATTTAGTTGCGGAGTGTAACTATGTTTCAGGTGGATACCTGTCTCTGATGGGGCTGGCACAGAGACCAGATGTCTTCAAGGTAATGAGCATTTTTTAAATCTTAATTGCATAATTTTACACCAGCTCCTCCTGTTGGTTCAGTATGTCAAGCTTGTCTTGAACACTGATGTATCTGATCATGACTTAGGGAGAAGAGACGTTGTTCCAGTAACCCAAATTTAACTAGCGTAGAAGCTCTTTCCAGGCCTTGCACTGAGCAAATTTGTAGAAAAACATAACAACTAGTAAACTGCAACATGCATTATCACATTAGTTCTAAGCTGTAAAGCCATCATACATAGTATTGTTTTAGAATTTGTTCCTCTTTTGTGTTCAAACAAAGTTTAAAACTCTGCTACCAGTATGTGCTATGGATTCTACCAACACAGATGAGCTCTCATTTGAATAGCATACATACCATTGTTTTTTTGTTTAGCCTATTATTCAGAAATGCTGGTATTACAGGTAGCCATAGCTGGAGCGCCTGTGACGTGTTGGTCTGCCTATGACACTGGGTACACAGAGCGCTACATGGGCACGCCCTCCGCTAATGTGCATGGATACTCCGAGGGATCCGTATTGAGACACGCGTCACACTTTCCTGAAGAGTAAGTCTCACCATCTGAGGCCTAGGAAAAAAAAATGTTGTGTTTCCTGTTTCAGTCCTGAAAAAAATTAGGGTCGGTAGGTAGGGGTTATCTTTTTTACCTTCTTTTTTCTTTAGACTTCAGTGATATCTAATAGGGGTCCAATGTATACAATACAGTTTAACAAAGAAAAACTTGCAATGTCAATGTTAGAAAACCAATTGTACAAAGTTTTATCACTCAGGTGTCAGATCATGGAGCTAGAAAAGGTTGATCACCCGCCGCCCCCCCCCCCCCAAAAAAAAGTCTAGGGTCGGCAGGTTTTTCAAAGGTTGGTTGGGAACCAGGAAACACATCATCTTTTTTCCAAGGCCCTGTCAGACTATCCCAGGTAGTCGGCAACTACCTGAGAAAAGTTATACTTTCCTCTGTTCTTTGTAGCTTCTTGTGTCTTTCTTCATCTTGACAGGTATAAGACAAAATTTATAACTGGTAAACTGCCTTTATAACACTGGCATTTGTACAGTATGTACAAGCTGTGTAAGACCGGACTGTAAGGTTTGAACCATTCACATCAGGATGGACCCCTGCTCTTTTTGATAACCCTGGCTCTCCTCAAACACTAGAACTCCAGCTTTATGTCTTATCTGAGAGCGCATCCCTAACTGAAGCTGTGTCCTGTTGTTTGCAGGGAGAACCGTCTGCTGATTGTGCATGGTCTTATCGACGAGAACGTCCACTTCTACCACACCAGTATACTCATCAACGCACTGGTCAAGGCCTGTAAACCTTACCAACTACAGGTAAGACATACGAGAATAGTCTCACACTGGTCAAGGCCTGTAAACCTTACCAACTATATACAGGTAAGACATACGGGAATAGTTTCACATTAGTCAAGGCCTGTAAACCTTACCAACTACAGGTAGGACATCCTAGCTCTGAAAAGAACAAGAAATAGTCATGCCTTCAAGTTATCAACCAAGGATTGAGGCGTTCAATAACGCATTCTTTCCTAGAACTATTGCAGACTGGAACTCGCAGTCACCAAGTACAGTTGGGACATTATCATTTGATAGCTTTAAACAATGTCTAGAGTTAGATGTTCAAGGGTTATGTGTAACAAGTCGTTCGGTGTAATGTAGCCAGCTGCTGCCGCACCGCGTGCCTGCGAAGCTGGTGTGTTAGGCCGAAGGGCGGTTATACCGGCTATACCGATACAGATACAGAATACAGATACGTGAATACTAGTAGTTTCATCACGTTAGTAAGTCACTGGAATAAAGAGACTCTTTTTACACAACAATGTGTTTTATTCAGCCAAAATTTTGGTGGCAGTCTGTCACCTTCCTTAACACAATTCTGACTGTTTTATATTGTATAGCACAGGAAATGCATCTATAGCAGCGATGCCTGTACTTTGCAATGTGAACCAGTCAGAATTGCCCAGAGGAAGGTGACAGACCAAAACATTGACTGAATAAAACACTTGGTTGTGTATACAGATAACACAACTGACAGTTAGTCAGGTCTATAGGTTTATGAGTTAGGCTCTGTTAGGACACGGTTTTGTAGCCCAAAATCTTGTTACTTTTGGTAAAGTTTTACATTTTACCCCCGCTCATAACTTTTCCAGTTTATGCTACAGAAGAAGTCTTTCCTCATCTGGAATAGTTTGTTTTTTTCCGTCCTAATATTGCAATGGATACCTTTAAATCGATAGCTAATTGTGCTTCATGTTCCTTTTCCAGGTCTATCCAAATGAGCGACATGGAATCCGTCAGCAGGACACCTGTGAACACTACGAAACTATGGTGCTGTCTTATCTACAAAAACACTTATAGGTCAAGATGTAAGCTACAAATAGGGAAAATGTAAGAACTGCTCAGAAGTTATAGACACAAGAACAATACATGAATTTCTGTAAGAGTCTTACCTGTGAACTTTTGTCAGATCATTTTTTTTTTGTCACATTGCTGGTTTTTCCCCTTGGCTTCGGGGATGAAGTAGACACTAGAACTCGTGAAACTTTTGCGATGGTTTTAATTTTGCAGCGGTCTGTCCACCACAAACTCATGACACCTACTGTACAAAAGAATTGCTTCAACTGGGAATTTATGTCATCTTTATGTTTACATTTGTATTATGTTTTATGAGCAGCGGATTTACATAAGCACAACAAGTGCTTCCTATCCAATGCTCAAAAATCCATGTGAATAAAATAAAATAAAATAACTGGGAATTTGAAACACCGCAAAAACTTCTCTTTCCCTCCTACAAAAGTAAGTAAACTTTGAGTTAGTGAAGTTGCTTTCAGGCCCAAAATCTTCTTTTACCTTTTCGGCCAAGACGTATATGCAAACCGAAAATTGAGAAAATCAAAACATTTCCAGTTATTTTATCACGGAAAAAGCAACCAACCTATGCCCATTGACACATAATTATAAGGGACAGTGCTTAACATGTTTTTAATGAAATTATCACTACTCAACTTCATGTGTGGGGACTCACTTCCAACTGTACATGTAGCAGTGCCACCTTGTAATAGTGTGCAGTACTGCATAAATGTATGTTTACGCTATATGGTATAAGAAGATACCGAAAAACATTGTATGGATGTACATGTATGATCTGAGTGCTTCGATATTTTTATGCCATGAAAAGTATCTTTCCATAGCAAAGACTATTGCAACAATATATATATGTGATGACGAAACTTATGAAATTCATGACAAGAAAAGTCATTTAAGTTGAACAATGGTTTTAGACAAGTGAAGACAACAGTTTGAAGAGTCAGTAAAACTTAACTCATTGTACACTGCACATGATGTGTTGTTTAGAAGAAAAAGTAAACTTACATGTGGCTAAGTGGAAAATAATGGCTGTTAAGGGTAATACATATAAACACTGTATAAATGTATCAGAGTGAATATAATGATTGTTGGATGAATGATTATGACATGGAGAAACTATTAAATGCAAAGCTATCACTACTTTCAGATGTTTACTTCATCTTTGTGTTGTTTTGTGTTTGTTAGCCTGGATTTTGTTCTACTCTAGTGCTGGAGCTATGAGGATAACATTACATATGCTGGAATATAACCCATAAACTATGTAGCATGCAATTGAAAATATTACTCGAACTGAGTACTAAGTATTCCAATTTGATGTTATAGTGCTATAAGAGTGTGTGTAATTTAAAGGTAGAAAAATTGACAAAAAAGCTCCATATTCAACCGCTCGTACAAGCCGTACTATGTATATTTGTCTCAAAATAAACAGGTACAAGACTAAAACGGTTATTTACCGATAAATTCGTGATATTTCGGTAGTTGGGGTGAGCCTCAAGGTCAAGAACAAGAGCGGGAAAGACCTGGAGTAAAAACCCCAAAAGAGCCCATCGCGTTTCCCCACTCGCGAAATGGCCAAATCTGGGAATGAGCGAGGCTTCGTTAGCGAGATACGGACCTTTTCGGAACGGGGACCCGAAAACGGGGGTGTGATAGGGGATGAATTTCCGCTTTTTCAATTATCATCAATTTCAGAAAAATGAAACTTTTGACGTTTTCCGGCCTCACTCTTTTTAGAGTATACTCGTCATGGTCTAATCTATATTCCTACTTATTTACTTCCGATAAACTTTCTCCGTTCTCGAGTTATACGTCAAAACGCAATTTTGCGATCAGCTGATCGCTTGCAGAAGTGGTCAAACTCTTTGCAGAAGTGGAGTTTTCGCTGTCGGAGACATTACCATATGAATAAAAACCAAGCAGATGCCAGCGAGGAAATCGTATACAATGGCAATCCTCCAGCGAAAGTTACGATTTCCCCCGTGATATCTGCTTGGTTTTCATTCATATGGTAATGTGTACGACGGCGAAAACTCCACTTCTGCAAAGACTGTGACCACTCCTGCAAGCGATCAGCTGATCGCAAAAACACATTTTCACGTATAACTCAAGAATGAAGATAATTCTTTGGAGGACATTAAGCAGGAATATAATAGAGGTTACAATAAGTATACTCTGAAAACAAGGGCAACTAAAAACGTGAAAAGTTTCATTTTTCTAAAATTGAAAAAGCGGAAATTTATCCCCTATCACACACCCGTTTTCGGGTCCCCGTTCCGAAAAGGTCCTTATCTCGCTAACGAAGCCTCGCTCATTCCCAGATTTGGCCATTTCGCGAGTGGGAAAACGCGATGGGCTCTTATGGGGTTTTTACTCCAGGTCTTTCCTGCTGTTGTTCTTGACCTTGAGGCTCGCCCGGACTATTTAAACATTACGAATCTATCAAGGAAGAACCGTTTTAGTCTTGCATCTGTTCTTTCTCAGACAAAAATTGCTAGAACGACTTTTACGAGCAGCTGAATATGTAGTTTTTTTCATCAAAATTTCCGCCATTTTTGCTTTAACATATTCTAAAAGGCTTACATATCTGAGTTTCAAATGAATTCCTGAAAGAAGACTTGAAAGAAACAAAACCATGTTTATGTCCTTCAACATATCCAATTTTCCTTCAAAATCCTGTAATGTTTCCTACACATAATGGTACAATATTTTATCTTTTAATCCTAGTAGCACAACTCCCTTATAAATCCACACACACAAATGAGACACAACGCTTCATATTTGTTTCTAACAGATTTTAATATAACAGAAAACAAGATTCAACAAACAGGTATATCAGCATTTTGACATTTCACAGAAATGCCTGATTTTAGATAAAAGTAGAAACATCAAGTTTTTTACAAATATACAAGAGTGATTGGTCAAATCATTACTAAAACTCTTTGGTCAAAAGTTTTCACTCTTACTTGCATCATAGACTTAAACTTAGACTTAAACTAAGCCTAGGTGGAATGCAAAGAACTGTCGTGGATACAAAAACTCTTGCAGCAATAACTGTTGCTATGTACTACATTGTGTACCACAAATTCACAATACCAGCTTTGTATTCCTGTGGTTTAGCAGCATTTTTTTGGCTATATTTTTTCCTATTTGACCACCCACACTTTAGAGGATGTCAACCCTAAAATTAAGTCAGTGTGGTCTAACAGGGATAGTTCAGCGTGTGAGTGTCCAGCTAAGATGTAGATGTCGTTGTCACTGGTCACAGTCATGGTCACGACAGGAGGAAGGTCTGCTGGGTAACCACAGCTGATGTACCGCCCGACTCTGGGGTTCATATACAGCATCTCTCTCTTGCTGAGGAGCAAAATAAACATTGTCATAGCCACAAACTGTCTTTTTTCATAGCATTTTAAATGATGCTTTACTTGGCTACATTTTTTTATTTTTGCAAAACCAAACCGACTGTTGTACACTGGTTTATAGGGGGAGTCAGTTGAAATCCAATGAATTACTAGTGCATGTGAATAGAATTCTCTAAATAGAATCTGTGCATGAAGAGAAATATTGCCTCTAATAGTAGTACTCATTTAAAAAGCAAAAATTCCCATATGTTCAGAATGAAGTGAGCTACATTCATCAAAATGCAGATCTATAAGTGAGTGAGTGAGTGAGTGAGTGAGTGAGTGAGTGAGTGAGTGAGTGAGTGAGTGAGTGAGTGAGTGAGTGAGTGAGTGAGTGAGTGAGTGAGTAAGTAAGTGAGTTTCCCCCACCTGTCCTCTCTGCTGTGCTGCACCCATCTCACCACTTGCCTGGTTACCAAACCTAATATAGTAGGCTGTAGGACTTGGGAGATATGATAGGTTTGGTAACCAGGCTATCTCACCACAGCCTCCCACACTCTTGTCTCCTCTTAAACATCCAGCTCATCATGGCTGATGATCTCAGTCAGCTGATCCACACTCAGAACTCCTCACTGATGGAAACCTGGAGGGGACAGATGGATGGATGAAGCAATAAGAGAATGAATAAATCATTTCCTCTGGGTAAAAAACTGTTATATCCATGCAAACTATCTTAATTATCAACAAACAAGATGTGTCAGGACAGGACCATGTACTGCAGTAGGGGTGGGAGGGTAGGATCACGTTTCAGCACTAAGGACAGGACCATGTACTGTAGCAGGGGTGGTAGGGTAGGATCACATTTCAGCACTAAGGACAGGACCATGTACTGTAGCAGGGGTGGTAGGGTAGGATCACATTTCAGCACTAAAAACAGGACCATGTACTGTAGCAGGGGTGGTAGGGTAGGATCACATTTCAGCACTAAGGACAGAACCATGTACTGTAGCAGGGGTGGTAGGGTAGGATCACATTTCAGCACTAAGGACAGGACCATGTACTGTGGCAGGGGTGGTAAGGTAGGATCACATTTCAGCACTAAGGACAGGACCATGTACTGTAGCAGGGGTGGTAGGGTAGGATCACATTTCAGCACTAAGGACAGGACCATGTACTGTAGCAGGGGTGGTAGGGTAGGGTGCTGCAAAATAAAACCACTGGCTAAGTAATCGAAATTACAGCATTTTTAACATGCCTATTTCAGTCTGGCGTACGTCATACAGGTTTTTATTGTGTTGCAAAATGTAATTATAATACATAAAATCCCCAGAGGGACAAGTTTTGCTGTACTTTAGCTGTGATTTGCACCAAATTTACCTTCAAAGCAACGGTCTTCTGCCGACTCTCCGCCATATCAGATGTAAACATCGCCTGGAAATAGGGCCGGGCTGGCCGCGGACAAAACAAGCCGGTGGCAGGGAAACCGGCGGCCCTCCAGAACCTCAACTTCAAGAACCACATACTGGAGAACTTCCGCCTCCTGTAAGTCACTTACGGCTCCAACAAACCCGTGGCGATAGCTTCTATCTTGGTAAAAACGAGGACTAATTGTTTTCACGTGTGTTTCTTGGCCAGCGGCAGCCATGATGATGATGAAGGGGCTATACCTCACACTGGGACCTGTCTTTCAACCGCAACTAGACAGGTCAGTGAGGGCCTCTAGCGATTTATCTTAGAACTGCAGTCACAGAATGCAGGTGTCACAGACAACGTTGGGTTCCGGTTTCCCGGTCTCCCCTTTACCATATATGGAAACCTTTACCATATATGGAGTTCCTTACCATATATGGAGCGAAGAGTGACAACCCATAGCAGCAGGCCTTCGGTAGTTAGGCGGCGCTTTCGAGCCGTAAGCCG